AATGGATTAGACGAGGGAGATTCGTTGGGTACCGAACGTTGTGGGGCGGCTTCGAGCCTCAGGGTACCCAGAAGTGGTACTAGGGTCATCGACGGCCGAGTATCCCGCAGGGAAAATGTAGATCATCCCCCGGCACTTGGAAAACTTCCTCCTTTCTGCCCGTGGACCATTATCCTCCGCATAATGTGGGCAAACAAGTGAAAATTAAACTTCCAAGTTGGTCATCTTCGTCGAATTTAATACATCCTAAATAAGCAGTCGATATATGGGTCGAAGATCGGAGATTTGAATATAATGAAATATTAATTTTGTAATCTAACAAATATTGCGTCTGAATTTTCTTTCGAGAGAGTACTATTATTTTTTAATGAAAATATATATAAATAAATATATACACCGAGAGAAAAGTGTATAATACTTGTAACTATAATTGCATAGTAAAATAATTATAGTTGGGATATTCATTTTTATAGTTATGATTCCTATAGTAAAAATAACCTTACATGCATGGTTCTGACAAATAATGTAAAAATTTTACTATAAATTATAATAATTTCAAATATTAATATAGTAACATATTAAGTAACAAATGGTAAATTAATAAACCATTTTTTATAATAATTACAATTATAATTATAGTATATATGTCTATAGTCTTAATGCCAGTTCTACTATTTATTGGTAATAATAACTAAAAAGTGAGTAAGAGAAAACAACTAAAAACATTAGTTTTTATGACTACGTTGATATTTTGTTTAACTATATCTCTAACTAAAAATTTACTAAAAATATTGTGAAAACAAACAAATAAAATAGTTACACTTTACATGCATGCTTCTGACAAATAATGTAAAAATTTTACTATTAATTATAATAATTTCAAATATTAATATAGTAAAATATTAAGTAACAAATGGTAAATTAATAAACTATTTTTTATAATAATTACAATTATAATTATAGTATATATGTCTATAGTCTTAATGCCAGTTCTACTATTTATTGGTAATAATAACTAAAACGTGAGTAAGAGAAAACAACTAAAAACATTAGTTTTTAACATTAATTTATGTTATATTTTTGTTCTTAATTAAATCTTTCTTATCTTTAATTTCTGATTTTTAATATTCAATTTTTAATAGAATTTAACATTGCTTGTTGCGCGATATGTAGACTGCAGTTAATACTGCGCTATACTAAATGCTACGAATTATTTCTATCTTTGAATATTCTATACATATATTGTGTATTACTTGTAATTATTAGTTGCAGTATATAAAAAAGTTAGATATTTAAATATATGTTTAAAAATCTGAAAATTTAGTATCTTTAAATATGTAATTTTTTATGTTACTATAATTAATAATTACAACAGATGTATAGTTTATAATATCTGTGGTTTTTTTGCTGTACTTGTGTTCGTGAAAAAACTTGAAAGATCTTTCGTAAGGAACCTGATCGCTGAGAGTGAATTTTTATTTGAAACTTTCGGGTCTTATTGACATCGTTTCGAAAATTTCGGAGGTGCATACCGTGTAAACACTTTCGCGCAAGTCATTGTTTTTACTTTCGACGCGACTCGGTCCTCCCCAAATATGCACTAAGCCCTGAACACGTCCGTCATTTCGCGGTTTTATACATATTTACATTGCTGCTGCGCAAACGGGACGTGTTCCGAACACGAAAATAGCGATTAAGGTATTGACCCGAGTAAAATACGATCAAAGAGATTAAGATTAGTATTGTTCGACAAAATTACACCGAAAAGAAATTTCTTAACTCGACTAAACCGTTCAACTAAATTTGCTATTTTGTTAATTGAACGTATATTAGTATTTAAATCAAATACACATTTTGTTAAATTTAACATATTATATTTAATTTAAATATTTTAATTAACAATATAATAAAATATTCTTAATATTATTTTCATAAAAAAAAAAAATAAATAAAATTGCATTATTATTATTATTATACAATTACAAATTGCATCACATATAATTATAAAAATAAAAATTGCATTAAACAAACGTCGATCGTCTTCTCAAGTGGCAGAATGCAAAAGAGAGAGATAATGCTCTTGCGCAAAGATGCTGCCCCAGAGCGGCGAGAGAGAAGATAACGTCTCGATCGGAGAGCAACGAGTTAGGGCGGGAAGGGAACCTTCTCAAACGAGTAGGGGTAAAAAGAAGGGGAGGGGGGAAGAAACGCGGCGGCGATGAGAAAGAGAAAGCGCTCGGCGACAACGGGGGAGCGCGTATGCAAAAGGGGGCCGAAAGGGGGCAGGGGGCTCGCTCGCGCGCAAAACTGGCGCCCCCTGGGCGGCCCTCCGCGGAAGGTAAGGTTAGTCAGTCGCCAGCCGTTCGAGAGGACGACGTGTTTCGCGCGCGCGTCTCCGCGTTCGGCCTCTCATTTAGCCTTTCGATCGTTTGCGAATTATAAGTACGCGATAAATCGAGTGCGGAGTGTGATTTTGTACATGTTTTCAAAATGGAGGAAGCCTCGCTGTCGAAAATCGCGACCACGCGATACCGGTGATTTAAACTAGGCGTTGGATCCCGCAAAAATTCGAACACGGTTAGAGGAAGACGGAAAACGCGCGGAAGTGCCGGATATTCGTCACGAGGACGAGGGAAAAAATATTTATTTCGCGCGGCGCGAAATCTTCGCGAGGAATCCGAGGGGAGCTAACTTCAGAGCGTTATGACGTATTCGCGGATGCTTGGCGAAGTTCGTTGAGCTGCATTCGAAAAAAAAATAATTAAAACGTTTATGCACAATTTTGTTACAAGAACTGAAAAAGTGATATAAAAACCGTGTAAAATAATACATAAAAAATTTGATATAATTTGAAAAAAATACCGTGTGAAATAAGATAGTGCGAGAACGATGAGGAGAATGGCAGATGAATTTCTGGGCTCTTTCCGCGAAAAACAGGACAGTTTTCGCGCCTTCAAGTCGTCGCGGTGATAATAAGACGCGTCGTCCTACGTAAGGTGCGCGTCGATCGGAGCAAGGGTGCGAGCTGTCAAATTACTGTGCGCGCATTAATCGGAAGCGAGATACGTCACGTTATCTCGCATATTAATATCTGCTCCTCTAAGTTGGATTATAGTGATTAACACAGTGTGATCATCGGTATTCGCGTTTATATCGATTGATTGTATTTTACGAATTTTTATTCCGATTTTTTTTTATTCGCCATCGTTTCTTCGAGTTGGATTACGCTCTCGTGTGTGAGTTTTTTTTTCTTCGAAGATAGTGCGATAGTGAACTGTGTTAATGTATGAAAAAGTCGTGTAAAATAAAAGGAAAAGAAGAAGGTATCAAGTGCCGCGAAGTTGAGCGAGAGGTTGATTTCTTGTTCTCGGGAAATGGAGTGAACATTCGGGTCTCTTCGTGGAAATATGAGGATTACGTTTTACTGCTGCGACCGTTCGTGGGCATCGATTACAAGCAAAAATGAATCTCACGCGCGTGCTTCTGCTACTATTATTCGTCGTTGGCTCGAGGTGCGTTTGCGAAAGAGTAGACACAATTTTTTACGCTCTTTTATCTCATCTTTGCACGTTTGTAAGGCGAAATGAAATATTGTAAAAATATACTTTCTAATTTGGATAGATGGAAACGTTGATAAATATTGAGTGGAGTCGTAATATTTACCATTGTTTTAAGAGAAACTTTAAAAACCAAGGCTGAAATATATTTAAATAGCAAATACTTGATAAGATACCACTCTAAAGATAAGATTGAAAATATAGTTAATGTTAAAAGTATAGTTAAAAATATCAAATAATAGTTAATGAACGGAAAATATCGAGTTTTACATGAGCAAATATTACACGCGGCGTGTAAATGTCATATTAGAAGTTTATGAATGACACCCATAAATCGTGAAAAAAATTGTCAAGAGTAATCACTTGAAAATTGATTATTAAATTATACGATTATCATTATTATATACCAAGCTTTTTAAATATTATAAATTCCTCTAAAAAATGCGGGACGATCTTTAATTTATTTAAAGAAATATTTTTATATCATTAAATACATATATTTAATACAAAATGTCATAACACTTGTGTAATTTATATAACTTTGTAAGTTTACACATTGCTTCGTTTGAAATATAAGTATCGATCGAAATGAATAGCATGATTACTAGGTGATATTATATTCTTTCGATTATTGTTATCGATATCGACGTTAAATCGATGAAATTGTTTTATGTATTCTTTGTTGGATCGTCTTACAGATTTCTCGTGTCATAGATAGAAAATTGATACCACCCACGTATTGAATTGATTGCTTATTCACGCATTAATTATATATCTATAAGGAATTAATTATTTGATAAGGAAAATTATATAGTTATTTACAAGCTTTCTAAATTAAATTATGTATATGCAATACAATATTTAATATAATTAATTTATATTTTTAATATAAATCACAATTTAAATAGTTTAATTTAAATTTTATATAATATATACACAGTGTGTTAAAAAATGTCATACAAATAAATGTTTTTTATTAATATTACTTTTTACACTGAAAAAAATTTATTGAATTCGAAGAAATATTAATTTTAATATTGCCTGATAAACCATTTATTTAAAACTATAATAATAACCATTTATTTAAAACCATAATAATATTGATTTGATGTGAAAAATATTTATTTGATATAAGAAAATCCTTGTCAAAACAGATAAATATTTATTTGTTCCAAATAAATGATTTATTAGGCAATATTGAAATAAATATTTATAATTTAATACTTTTTTTCAGTGTACGATGTTTTTAGTTAATTAAACGTTATAGAGAAAATTAATATTAACAAAAATGTTTGTTTTGAAGCTTTTTTTTCTTCAAAGTTTGTCGAATTAATTTTTCAATACCTTGTATAATAAAAAAAATATATAATATACTTAAAATTTTGTTAAAAATTATGATATTGTGAACTCCCTTATTCTTAACACGTAATTTTTTATTTGCAGATGCATGTGCACGAGCGGATATACCGGGCAAAATTGCGAGAGCGACTACATCCCCTGCGATCCGTCACCATGTGAAAACGGGGGCTCGTGTCACGAGGTGGGCGACCTCAGCTACGCGTGCCAGTGTCCCGAAGGTGAGTAAATTTTTTTCTTTTCGCTTCCTATCGCGCCATGAAATCATTTCGCCATCTCCCAGTCCCAAAAGTGAAAGATGAAACTTTTCTCGTCATCAACACGTACGATCTCTTCTTGCGCTCTCTCGACACACGTCAAGGTTAACGAAAAATAAATAAACAGTAAAGTCAAGGTTCACGAAAAATAAATAAATAGCGAAGAATCTCAAGAATTACGCACTAAAAACAAATTTATTGAATTCGAATAAGCAATTATTTCAATATACTGCCAAAAGAATCATATATTTGGAACTAATAATATTGATTTGATGTGAAAAATCTGTATTGAGAAATAAACATTTATTAATTTAATCACTTTTGTTCAGTGCGCAAAATTGCATAGTTATTACATGTACAAAGAAATATAATTTGACGATCTCTCCTTTTTTTCTTTGTCGCGATTTCCGTGAAAATCATTTCGATAAAGCTTTCTCACGAAGCGACGAGGTTGATTCTCGCGCCATTTTGCGGGAATGAACAAAAGTAAAGTCTTCTCTGCCGGCTCATTAATGAAATACGACATGTGCCGATAACTCGCCGCGGGATTTCGGAAGTTTTTCGGAAATTGTCGCGCGCGTTCCAGTCTGTTTATTCGAAAAATAAGCAAGAAAAAGACTCCTCGTACGAGCAGAGCAGTGATTACTCGGTGCAATAGGTACAATACCTACCTCGGCCAGGGGTGTCCGGCCATTTACGTACGTGTGTGTACACGGTGGATGGTTTAATGCGAAGCCTAGGGTCAGCCTAGCGTGGCCTTCTCGCTCCCCGGATCACACAATGCGTGGTCCTCTTTTTCCCAGGCGGACCACGACCATGGCGACCCCACCTTCTGCTCTTCGTCTGCCCCTTCAGTCCCCCTGAATTCTCCCTCTTCCGTCCACCTTGCTGGCGCACCTTCTCCCGTTAAAGAAACGCGAACGAATTCTGCCTTTTTCGCAGGTGGTTCTTCGTTACTGATCGTTACGCGCTTCCTGGTATTATTTTATGCTATTACAAAGTTCTTGTAAGACGTACACAGTAGGAACATTTGTTTTTGTTGTTCAAAACGGTCCCCGTTAAAATTTTTGTGCTATAGTATATTGTGTATCAAATGCGGAAAGTTGACAATTGGTCACGAGTGCGGGGGATGGACCACCCCACACGAGTGAATAATTGTCCGCACGTGATACACATACTATTTTGTATTACAAGTGCAGGCAAAGTGGCTTTGTGCGCGTTTTCTGTGCGCGAGGTGGTCGATCGCACGCCGCCATCTTGCGGCGGCACGGTGCGGGAATAGCCGTGTTCAAAGTCATTGCCCACGGCTGAAGCCATAGGCAATGGCTTTGAATGCGGCTTATTCACTCACCGCGTCGCCATTAGATGGCGGCGTGGGAAATCGGCTGCTTTCCGCACAGAAAACACGCACACAAAATGCCACTTTGCCTGCACGTGTAATACAAAATATTTAACACATTCCTGTGTTAATTTAACATATTACTGTTTTGTTCATTAAACTTAAATGTTAAATTATTAAAACTACTGAAAAAATGTTAAAATAACACAATGTGCATCTATTTTTAATTTTACCCAATAAATATGTTCTAATATTAAATTTCCAGAAAGTTTGCTTAATAACACCTATATATAAATCCGCGAACATTCTCGGTTGATAAGATAGTTGGTGGAAATTGAACTTATTTTGCATAACTTTGCTCGCGCGTGTATATTTTCTGCATTATATTATTAACGTTATGCTTTCTAGTCTCGACATAGACATCCGCGTGTAAGAAGCTCTCGCTAGAGGGCAGTAATCTCCGCAGAAACCTGCGTATATAACTATAAACCCGCTGACTTTTATTTCGATCGTCCTTTTTTCTTCGCGGCCTCGAACAAGGTTGGCGTAAATAGAACCGCCCGTCATTATCGCCTTCTTCGTTCAAGGCGACCGACGCCTTCCGCAAGAAGGCGCACGCTCTTCCTGCTCCATGACACTCCAATAAGTCGCGTCGGGATCGAAACTCGAAGAAGGCGTGCCCCCCTAGTCAGGGTGTCGGCGATCGTTAGTCGAGGATTCTTCCCGGTCGTAACTATTCAGGATTCTGCCAGTCGCTCGACATCCTCGTGATCGAAAAGTCTCCTCTAGATGATGCTCGACCCGCTATTTTACCCTCGTAAATTTTCCTCATTTTCCTCCACTTCGCGTTCCTCTTAATGTATCGACCCTATTTGTCACAGTCACGCTCGATTAATTACTACACTGAAAAAAATTTCTTAACTTATTGACTAAACCTTTCAACTGAATATTATTTTGTTAATTGAACCTATAAAAATATTTAAATTAAATGTAACAGATTAACAAGAAACGTATATTTGACTTAACTACTAATATATGTTAATTTAACAAAATAATTGATTTAACAAAATTTAGTTGAAAGGTTTAGTCAAGCTAACACATTTTTTTTTTAGTGTAATATCCAGACATTTTTTAACATTTAAGAAACTTTGTATTAATTTGAAAAAAATTAGTATTTATTAAGCATATTTTTATTGAACTTTGAACATCATTGTTATTTTTGATTATATAAAAAATATATTTTTTATTTAAAAAAATAAGAAAAATTTTCAGATTGCAAGATAATTATCTAATTAATTATTATCTTGCAAATCTAAAATCTTTTATTTTTCTTTTTATTATAAAAAATAATTTTTTATATAATTAAAGCTAACAACGATGTGCAAAGCCTAATAAAAAATCTGTTTAATTAATATGATTAAAAAATATTTTTAAATGTCAGAGAAATGTTAAAAAATGTTCAAAGAAATATAATTATAAAATAATTATCTTGCATATTCATAATCTCATCTCTTTCCCTTTCTTATATCTTTTTTTATAAATAATTTTTTATCGATAGACACAAAATGCATCTATATAATCATATGTCATATTATTTTTTTTTTATGAGGGGTTAATAATGCTCGGATGTCATCTTACTTCTGTCTTTATTTTTTATACTCGTGACTTGTGCATTTCGCGAGCCAGATATCGAGATAAAATTCATCGCAACCTTCTGGTTCGAAATGATTTGCTCGCGCAAGCATAATGGTTCAATTTGCAGCATCCTCGGCTGCCTGTTGCCACTTCGTGCCGAGCACGAGCCCATCCTCTTCTCTCTAAGGACCTAATCCTGGCCAGCCAAGAATTTCCATCGCGTCGAACGATCCGATCACGCCTCTTCCCTTCGATTCCACTAATTAGAAACTGCTCTATCGAACGTCGGTCAAACGATTAATCACACGCCCGAAGATTAAATCGGTGGAGGAAGGCAGGCTCGTTTTCTAAATCCCAGACCAAACCAACCATTTTCCTTCGTGTATCTTTCTCGGTTTCATCGTTACGTTTCTACAGAGATACCAAGTGTTCGAGAAGTCTTGTTCGATTGATCGACCGCGACGATCCGGCGAAGTTTCTTGCGGAGGAATTAAATCGTCGGTTTTATATCTACGTCGCGCGACGATCGGCAAGAAACTCGAATTTATGGTTGAAGTTGTGTACACCCTCTTTGTCGGCGAGAGATTGAATAGTCTCGTGAGAGACGACGACGCACCGATTCATTTGTCGATTCAATTTTTACCTTCGCGCGACGACAGATTATATTCGATGACTTCATTTTTTTCGCACCTCAAATATATATCATATATATATATATATATATATATATATATATATATATATATGTATATATATATTTGGACAAAATATAGATTACTGAAAAAATCTTTTAATTTAAAGAGAAATATTTTTTTTTATTAAATATTTCCTGGTGTTTATAAGAGATCGATTTTTAAAAATCGACAATTGTTTCACATATATTTAATACATATTTTAGAAAACATACTTCACAAAAATGGAATATTCAGAATATAAGATTAATAAAATTAAAATAAATAATATATACAATATATTATAATATTAAAATTAATGAAATATATTAAAAATATCTATATATAAATATAAATATATATATATATATATATATATATATATATATATATATATATATATATATATTATTATTCTTGTATTAATATTCTATATTTGGAATATATTATATATAAATTGACAAATTTGTATTTTAAATTAATATTTAAATTAATTTTTCTTATTTTCACATATGATAACTTTTTATGATTATGTAAGGAAAAGATTTTTGAAGCTTGACATTATTAAAATGATTATAATGTAGACGAAAGATTAAGTAGCTTATCAATTTGAAATATGAAATACATGCAATGCTTTTTATTGTTATGACACACACAAATAAGAAGATATTTAACTATCTTAGGTTAATGACTTTGACATGAAAGGCTATTCAAGCTCGTATAACGTCGGCATGAAAAATGTATGTACGAGCTTCCTTATCAATTAAAAGTTAGCATTTTACTTCTATTAAACGACTATCTTCCCGTTTCTCTTAGCAGTTGTAACGGAACCATTACGAGCTTCTGCTTAATTAAAATTAAACAAGCACAGTCGAATCGATCCCATCTATTTTACCGCGATCGATATCGGAAGATCGAGTACATTCGTTCATGTAACTGATTTACAACAAGCGAATATACAAATATGTCAAAATATATGTCAAAAGAAAATAGGATTCAGTATAAAGTTATGCTACACATTATTGTAAAATTATCAAATTTATTTTATAAATGTATGCGCATATGTAAAGAATTTTTTTATTATTTACAATTTATATACAAAATTCCAAAATGTTAGATTTTTTCAATTGTATTTAATTTATTTTCATATTTTAATATATTGTATATATTATTTATTTTATGCATTAAATATTTAGAACAAATTGTCGATTTTTGAAAATCGATCTCTTATAAATATTAGGAAATGTTTAATAAATATTTCTCTTCAAATTAAAAGATTATTTCAGCAATCTATTTTGTACGAATTTGAACAAATTGCA